GCCAGGACTTTATTTGCTTTACCATTTCCTCAAATATTTGCAGAACGTTCACCTGAATTAATTAACAACATTTTAAAATGCCAGCGAAAAGTCAGCACGTGAAGATCAAAACAGGACACAGAGCAGAAAACCAGAGAAAGCAAATTTATCTAATTTGCATTCTTTGACCTCGGCATATTTGAGATGACTCTTCGAACAATCGAAAAAGGGTTGCAAGCCCAATTAACAGCTGAGGTGGTTCAGTTCACGGATCAAACCAAGGCCTAAAGGTTAAGTTCCTTAAACTGTCTTAACCTTTATGTGGGTTAGAACCTTAGCGCGACAAAATATTTTTAAATATACAAAAAAAACACCTTGCTTAAAAAAAGGTACTGTTCAGACTAAGGTTCGGTTAATGCTTGATAAACTATAGAAACATGCGCTTGGTCCGATTATTTATTAAAATTAAATTATTAAATTTGCGTTTGTAAGATTGGAATTGAGCCTTTAGGCAAGAGCTCAGGTTCAGCCCCTTGAGTTTAATGTTTGCCTGTCACTATGAATGCAATATTTTCCGCTGGTGAAAATCAATATACCTAGAGTCACGGCAGCAGACCCTTACCATGTACATATTTAGAAAGAAGAGTTTTTGGGTGCCAAAGAAAAATATCCTGGAGAACGTTTTTTTGCAACTATAGCACATGATAATACCTCTTTTATAAAGTCTACAGTATTATTTTAATAATGATATATCACTAGATCTGACGATATGGATTCAGTTCAGCATCAATATCTAGTTCCCTTAAATACCATTTCGAGTAAAAATTGTCTCTCGACTGCAGTACTCATTTTGTGACTTAGCTGTTATACCCAATGCCAGGGTATAAGCAACTAGTTCCGAATAATAAACAATGACATTTTAATTAAATTTATGTGCACAAATTGCCTGCAGAGTTACAACAACAGGAACAGCAAAGCAAAAAAAAAAAAAAAAAAACTACAATAATATAAACAACAATGCAGTTACTACTAAAGCTGGCCAACAACTATTTCAGAAACTAGTTGAAGGCTTTTTATGTAAGCCAACAAATTTTTGGACAGCATCTCTGCTGACGACATTTCAATAGCCATTTTTTTTTCTTTGCCAATGCAATGAAAGTTTTCATGTAAAGCCCTTGAAGAGATTTCAGTTTAAAATTTGTAAAATTAAATTAAATAAAAGTGAATAACTTTATTGCGCTCGCTGGCCAAGTTTATAAACTCAAATGATCAATAACTTCCAATTTCTATACTCCCAGCCAATACTTTATTTATTTTAAAGTATTTTTTTTTTTTTATTTAGTCTTTTAGACAGACATCTTTGTGTTTCACAAGTTTCGCAGGAAGTGGCTTGCATAGTTGTATACCCTGTAATTGGGTTTTGCAAATATGTTAAGCAGGCAAAAGGAGGCTTCTCCAACCTACACGCATTCGAAAAACATATTTCGGCTTGTAATAAAAGTCGGACTATAAACATCAAAGGTATTCATTTTATTAATAGTAGGGAGCTTGTCCTAAGTCTAGCTAATCCTAGGCTGGAATTAAAATATTATAATATATTCGCTAACTGAGGCATCGACTAACAACAAATCTAGCTTGCATAATCTGCAACTTCAGTGGGTAAAGACTGTGTAAACGATGTGTTTTTAGCAGGCGTAGTTCTTTTACTGTAGTAGTTCTGTGTGACATATGAGTACTGAGTATATCTGCAGCAGCATATCTATACATTAACAACTCGAGTCGCATTACTGTAGAAAACTTAATATAAAGTTGCACGCTTTTCATTCCTAACTATGTTTCTTTGCTCATAAAATTTACTTTATATTAAATGTATGGGTCCTTGATGGCTTCCCTTTCATCATACAAGCATCTGATGGAACTGCATCTTTCATTTCTCATACTTTTTGCTTCTTTCGCCAACTTGTAAGCCTGCTCATACCCTTCACTTAAGAGCCAAACTCATACACATTTGTATAAACATATATATAAAGCCGGAGACCTGCTCATAATTACCCTGTAGATTACACATTTTGCCTAACAAGGCCCATTCATTAATGTCATCCAAAAGAGCAACAGCAGCAACGTCTGCAAATCTGAAACATTTTGTTGACACACCCACCGGACGGCAAACGGACCACGTTAATGACCCACCCCCCGTCCACAGCACAGCTACCCTGTCGCCTACTCATAAAACTGCAGTTGTGCAAATGCCATAAGGAAGAAAAGGCAAAAAAGCAAAAATGGAGACCAGCAAAAAGAAACCGAAGCAGCAACAACAGCAGCAGAGCCGGTGCCAGGATGTGCTGCTCTGGCTTTTTGGCGTAAGGACGATACGATTTGAATAGCACACGCACACATACACACAGGGTCTCACTTTTGCGCTAGTTAAATTTTCCGAAAATTTGCCGCTGCAGGTGTAACCAATTTGATGCCATTCCAGTTGCCTCGGTTGGAAATTGAAGAGCCGTATTTGCTGCTTGCAACAGCAGCAGCTGCTCGAGCACTCGACACCACTCGTAGCCCTGCCCAGAAAACACTCGAGAATGTCACACAGCAGGTAAAATTAATCTAGTAGGGAGCGCCCAGCTACCTAGCGCCAAGCTGCCGTTACAGACATTTGAACTTTCTACTATAAAACATACACACATAGACGCACAGGCCGCAAGCTTTCTCGTCCCGTTGGTGTTTATTGTACGAGCTCTATGAAATTATGAGGGCAATTATTTGGCCCAAAGCTATATCTTAAAAAGTGTGTTTTGCTTACAATGTTTCGAGCAACGTGGGGTTTTAAAAAAGAGAAAAATAGTTCGAATCTGTGTAAAGTCTACATAGCGTCTACATAGCGAGTGTGGAAACTCAAACTCATGTAAAATACAATGCTAATAAGGCTGCTTGTGCGTATTATATGGGAGAATATATACTTTAGCCTATAGCTCGTAAATTTCAGATATCGACGCTTTCATATAAACTTGGCTATATCGTCTTGATGAAAGATGTCTAGCTTTATGGCGTCGGCCAAGACCATTGTACCCCTCACACAGGGTATAGAGCACAGCCTATATATAACGACATCAGCAGCCTGCCCCTCTCCCTACCCATTCCACTGAAACCGCCTGGTATCGCTGGTTGCAACGTGTTGCTAACGCGGGGTAAACACAATCATCCAAGTCCAGTCCGTACAGCTGGGCCGTTGCCATTGGGCTGGGCAAGGCAACAATGCAGCTAACCAGGAAAACAACCTTATTGTCATTTTGATGATCTATTGCAGCACGCCCCATCTATATACCGGCTTTATGATTGCATGTTGGCATAGCTCTCGTTCTCACTCTTCCAGTCTGTAACTCTGTCAATCTCCCACTGTGTATCAGTGCAATTGCGCTCATTGCCATAATCCCAAAGCATTATTACCCACTCGTTGTCCCACATCTGCGTTGTTGGCTTTACAAATGCAACATTCTACGCATTACACATACGTCCCGTTGGCTGCTAACTTTTATTGCCCGGTCGCAACGTTAAGTCGAATTTATGTTGATGCTATACTGTCTCTCTTTCTCTGCGACTGTCTCTGGCTCTTGCTTTTAGAGCGGATTTTGCTTTGGCTTTTGGGTTTCTCTTGGCTTTATTGGCTGGCACATACGTTTTTGATTTTTTTTTTTCTGCCAGCGCCTTAATTGACGTGCTCAGCTCGTCGCCAGTTTCAATTTTGAACTTGTCATGCACCATCTCTGTCTGCCTGTTCTGCTAGCACTATTTCCCGCGTATTTGCTATTTATATATATATATATATATATATATATGCTCTGCTGGCTGTCGCAAACAAAAAGTTGTTAACTTTTTTTGCCTCAGCTTATCCAGCACATGTGACTGGGATTTCCCGCTGCTCCCCGATGTGGTCTGGTCTAGTCTGAGCCATTCTACTTTAATGGCCAAAACTAAGCACCTCTCACACATGTGCGAAAATATATGAAATGTGAACAAGTTGCAGCTTTTATTTTGACACACGATTTGACGCACAGTGGGGCCGTTTGTCTTCTTTTTTTTTTGCCTCAATCATAACTTCTTTAAGGGATAAGATATTGTCAAAGTGTTCACGTTCAAAGGTCAAAAATTCTATTTTTTAAAAGAATTGTTTCCTATAATTTTTTGCGCTCTCTGCCCCACTGTGCGACTAGCCTAACAAAATGAAATGCTATGAAATATTTTGCCAAATAGTTGAAACTGGAAATAAACTTTAGTTATCGAAAAACCACACAGGAAATATTAGTGCCTCAATAGCAGATGCGGCTCGTGTTCAGTTTTGCAACTCCGAAAACAATAGATTTTATCACAGCACATTTTCTTTTTAATCATTTATTCAAACTGTTTTTTTCATAATTTCCATTGTTTCATTTTGCAGCCTCATAATAAGTTGTAATAATCTCTAACTATTATTCATAACAAACAAAAGCAACAATTTTAAATTCACTAATATCACCAGTAGGAGAACAATATTTACTTGGAGATACCCTCTTATTTGGTTTAAAGTACATTTTGAATGATCTTTTATTTTAATTCCCTACGGGACATCTTCAAGTCGAAGCGTAGGAGGATTGGCCTTCCTTTGGAGTTGTACAAATTTTTTGAAAATGTTTTTAAAAGTAAAAAAAAAACGATATTTAGTGCTCATTGGCTGTCATGATGCATTTGTGATGCAAAACCTGTATAGAATCAAATAGACATGGTTTTAATGGGAGAGAGAGAGAGAGAGATACTGCACACTGTTCTCAACTTTCTGGCGTCTTTTCCAATCCCCAAAATCCTCTAATAAAAATTGCGCTCACTTAATGAAAAGGTTTCATTTCTGAGCTCATAAATATTCATATGTTCCAACATCCAAATTATCTTAATACAGGGTATAACAATGGCAACAGTTACATGTATTTTGGCAACTTTATATTTTGGCGTTGTTAAAAACATGTTTTCTATGTTTATTTTTCGTGCAGCTTACAAATTGAAACCATGCAAAACTAAATTGCAAACTGCAAAAATGTGAACAGCCACTGGTGAAAGGAGCCAAAGCAGCAAAAGAAAACCGAAACGAATACAGAATAAAACCAAATAATACATAATAATAATAATAATAAGAACGAATATTCCCCCAGTTGGCCACTGGCCAGTGAATGCAGCGCCAAAGACTGTATCCGCAATAATGTGAGGCAATAAAAAACTAGTAACAGTCTAGTTGAGGGGGAGGTAACCATTTGCGAAGCAAACAATGCAAACTAATAAAGCACTTAAGAGGATTCTTCTTGCAGACAGCAATAGCAACAGCAAAAGCAACAATCAAACGGGCCACTGGGCGTATGATTAACATTGATAATCGGCAAAGAATTTTCATTATTTGCGCCGAGCGCCATGGAACGTGAGAATTTGAAACGTGAAATGTGCCGAAGGCGTGATGTTATTACTAATAAATGCATTAAATATGCTCAAACTACAACAACAACAACTGCAGCAACTACAACAACAACAGCAACAACAACGCCGCTAACGGCAAATGGAACAACAACCACTGGGCCAATACTGGAAGTGGCGCTTAGCAGCCCAACCACAAAGCCATTAACGGATATGCAACAAAACCACCTGCTAAAGATGCCAACTAAAACAGCAACAACAGCAACAGCGACAACGACAGCAACCAAAACAAAAGGACTACCAACAACAGCAAATTGTGCAAACTCAGCAGCAGCAGCAGCAGCTGCAGCAGGAGCAACAACAACAGCACAAAGCATTGCTAGGACATTAAGGACATTGGTACACAGCTGCCCACAGACTGGACTGCTCTTGACGCTCTGCCTCAGCCTGAGCCTGGTGTGCGTCAGCCAAGCGGGCTTCGCCTGCCTCAGCAATCCGTGTGTATTTGGCGTCTGCATCGATGGCCTGAACAGGTGAGTCAAGTCCTCCATATGCTGCAGCAGCAGCAGCAGCAGCAACTAAGTTGAATCCCTGCAACCGTTGCTTATTATCGCCAAGCCAATAAACTCCGCTCAACACATTTCGAGTGAGCAATAAACTTGCACCACTTGAGAGCCAGCAGCACCAGCAGCAGTAGCTCCATTGGGCATCGATGCCCCCAGCACCGTAGCCTGGCCCAACCCTTTGGCCCCTTAACCCCATGCAAAAGGCAAGCATGTTGATGCCGCCACTTTGCAGGCAAATGAATTTGCCACACAGTTAGCCCCGCACCCCTCAAATCCTCAGATTCAGCAATACTCTCTCTTATCTAGCCGCTCTTTGCCTTTTTATGCATGCCCCTCTTTAAAATGGGGCCAAGCTGCGGCTGCAGTGGGTGCCACTTCAGTGGGTAGGCCAGGAGGTTGAGGAGCGCTTTCAATTGCATAATCCGCTCATTATTAACATAAAGCGTGTCCGATGCACAGCCTTGGCCACAGTAAATTATGTAGCTAATGTAGCAAATTCTTTAAAGTCTATACATGCTTCGCACCAAGTCGTGCAGATTGCATGTATTTACATTTGTGAAGATAAGTAGATAGATCACAATATTAAACCAATTAAAGTAATACTTATATTTAAATAACATATCAAGCAAGGCCACAAACTCATTTTCAAAGAACTTTGATCAAATTCATTTGATGGGTGTTTCCCCATTTGGTGGAATCGGTTCCAAACTCACTTTCAAAGATCTTTGAGAGAATTTAATTCAAACGTGCCACGGCCGGTTATTATCCTATATAGACATAGGTCAAAACTTCCCACACCCATAACTTGGCCAAATATCCTCCGATTTTCATAAGGAATGGCTTTTTGTTTATGATTTGGCCTTATTATCAATTCTACATCCAAATCTGGCAACATTATTTTTGGTCAAAATTCATGTCCAAATGGTACCCTCAAATATCCTATATAGACATAGGTCAACATTTCCCACACCCATAACTTGGTCAAATATCCTCCGATTTTCATAAGGAATGGCTTTTTGTTCATGATTTGGCCTTATTATCAATTCTACATCCAAATCTGGCAACATTATTTTTGGTCAAAATTCATGTCAAAATGGTACCCTCAAATATCCTATATAGACATAGGTCAACATTTCCCACACCCATAACTTGGTCAAATATCCTCCGATTTTCATAAGGAATGGCTTTTTGTTCATGATTTGGCCTCATTAGCAATTCTGCATCCAAATCTGGCAACATTATTTTTGGTCAAAATTCATATCAAAATGGTACCCTCAATTATCCTATATAGACATAGGTCAATACTTCCCACACCCATAACTTGGCCAAATATCCTCCGATTTTCATAAGGAATGGCTGTTTGTTCATGATTTGGCCTCATTACAAATTCTGCATCGAAATCTGGCAACATTATTTTTTGTCAAAATTCATGTCAAAATGGTACCCTCAATTATCCTATATAGACATAGGTCAAAACTTCCCACACCCATAACTTGGCCAAATATCCTCCGATTTTCATAAGGAATGGCTTTTTGTTCATGATTTGGCCTCATTATCAATTCTGCATCCAAATCTGGCAACATTATTTTTGGTCAAAATTCATGTCAAAATGGTACCCTCAAATATCCTATATAGACAAAGGTCAAAACTTCCCACACCCATAACTTGGTCAAATATCCTCCGATTTTCATAAGGAATGGCTTTTTGTTCATGATTTGGCCTCATTATCAATTCTGCATCCAAATCTGGCAACATTATTTTTGGTCAAAATTCATGTCAAAATGGTACCCTCAATTATCCTATATAGACGTAGGTCAAAACTTCCCACACCCATAACTTGGCCAAATATCCTCCGATTTTCATAAGGAATGGCTTTTTGTTCATGACTTGGCCTCATTATCAATTCTGCATCCAAATCTGGCAACATTATTTTTGGTCAAAATTCATGTCAAAATGGTACCCTCAAATATCCTATATAGACATAGGTCAAAACTTCCCACACCCATAACTTGGTCAAATATCCTCCGATTTTCATAACGAATGGCTTTTTGTTCATGATTTGGCCTCATTATCAATTCTGCATCCAAATCTGGCAACATTATTTTTGGTCAAATTTCATGTCAAAATGGTACCCTCAAATATCCTATATAGACATAGGTCAAAACTTCCCACACCCATAACTTGGCCAAATATCCTCCGATTTTCATAAGGAATGGCTTTTTGTTCATGATTTGGCCTTATTATCAATTCTGCATCCAAATCTGGCAACATTATTTTTGGTCAAATTTCATGTCAAAATGGTACCCTCAAATATCCTATATAGACATAGGTCAAAACTTCCCACACCCATAACTTGGTCAAATATCCTCCGATTTTCATAAGGAATGGCTTTTTGTTCATGATTTGGCCTCATTATCAATTCTGCATCCAAATCTGGCAACATTATTTTTGGTCAAAATTCATGTCAAAATGGTACCCTCAAATATCCTATATAGACATAGGTCAAAACTTCCCACACCCATAACTTGGCCAAATATCCTCCGATTTTCATAAGGAATGGCTTTTTTTTCATGACTTGGCCTCATTATCAATTCTGCATCCAAATCTGGCAACATTATTTTTGGTCAAAATTCATGTCAAAATGGTACCCTTAAATATCCTATATAGACATAGGTCAAAACTTCCCACACCCATAACTTGGTCAAATATCCTCCGATTTTCATAACGAATGGCTTTTTGTTCATGATTTGGCCTCATTATCAATTCTGCATCCAAATCTGGCAACATTATTTTTGGTCAAATTTCATGTCAAAATGGTACCCTCAAATATCCTATATAGACATAGGTCAAAACTTCCCACACCCATAACTTGGCCAAATATCCTCCGATTTTCATAAGGAATGGCTTTTTGTTCATGATTTGGCCTCATTATCAATTCTGCATCCAAATCTGGCAACATTATTTTTGGTCAAAATTCATGTCAAAATGGTACCCTCAATTATCCTATATAGACGTAGGTCAAAACTTCCCACACCCATAACTTGGCCAAATATCCTCCGATTTTCATAAGGAATGGCTTTTTGTTCATGATTTGGCCTCATTATCAATTCTGCATCAAAATCTGGCAACATTATTTTTGGTCAAAATTCATGTCAAAATGGTACCCTCAAATATCCCACATAGACATAGGTCAAAATTTCCCACACCCATAACTTGGTCAAATATCCTCCGATTTTCATAAGGAATGGCTTTTTGTCCATGATTTGGCCTTATTATCAATTCTGCATCCAAATCTGGCAACATTATTTTTGGTCAAATTTCATGTCAAAATGGTACCCTCAAATATCCTATATAGACATAGGTCAAAACTTCCCACACCCATAACTTGGTCAAATATCCTCCGATTTTCATAAGGAATGGCTTTTTGTTCATGATTTGGCCTCATTATCAATTCTGCATCCAAATCTGGCAACATTATTTTTGGTCAAAATTCATGTCAAAATGGTACCCTCAAATATCCTATATAGACATAGGTCAAAACTTCCCACACCCATAACTTGGCCAAATATCCTCCGATTTTCATAAGGAATGGCTTTTTGTTCATGATTTGGCCTCATTATCAATTCTGCATCCAAATCTGGCAACATTATTTTTGGTCAAAATTCATGTCAAAATGGTACCCTCAAATATCCCACATAGACATAGGTCAAAATTTCCCACACCCATAACTTGGTCAAATATCCTCCGATTTTCATAAGGAATGGCTTTTTGTTCATGATTTGGCCTCATTATCAATTCTGCATCCAAATCTGGCAACATTATTTTTGGTCAAAATTCATGTCAAAATGGTACCCTCAAATATCCTATATAGACATAGGTCAAAACTTCCCACACCCATAACTTGGTCAAATATCCTCCGATTTTCATAAGGAATGGCTTTTTGTTCATGATTTGGCCTCATAATCAATTCTGCATCCAAATCTGGCAACATTATTTTTGGTCAAATTTCATGTCAAAATGGTACCCTCAAATATCCTATATAGACATAGGTCAAAACTTCCCACACCCATAACTTGGCCAAATATCCTCCGATTTTCATAAGGAATGGCTTTTTGTTCATGATTTGGCCTCATTATCAATTCTGCATCCAAATCTGGCAACATTATTTTTGGTCAAAATTCATGTCAAAATGGTACCCTCAAATATCCCACATAGACATAGGTCAAAATTTCCCACACCCATAACTTGGTCAAATATCCTCCGATTTTCATAAGGAATGGCTTTTTGTTCATGATTTGGCCTTATTATCAATTCTGCATCCAAATCTGGCAACATTATTTTTGGTCAAATTTCATGTCAAAATGGTACCCTCAAATATCCTATATAGACATAGGTCAAAACTTCCCACACCCATAACTTGGTCAAATATCCTCCGATTTTCATAAGGAATGGCTTTTTGTTCATGATTTGGCCTCATTATCAATTCTGCATCCAAATCTGGCAACATTATTTTTGGTCAAAATTCATGTCAAAATGGTACCCTCAATTATCCTATATAGACGTAGGTCAAAACTTCCCACACCCATAACTTGGCCAAATATCCTCCGATTTTCATAAGGAATAGCTTTTTGTTTATGATTTGGCCTCATTATCAATTCTGCATCCAAATCTGGCAACATTATTTTTGGTCAAAATTCATGTCAAAATGGTACCCTCAAATATCCT